TATTTATAACCATATTAAATATTGGCTAAAGAAAAGAACTCAAATTTTAAAGTGTTTACAAGCAACAGTATAAAAGCTGACCTCAGAAGCTGCGTGCAGTGGCTCACACCTGTAATCCTAGCACTCTGAGAGGCCAAAGTGGGTGGATTGCTTGAGCTCACGAGTTCCATACCAGCCTAAGCAAAAGCGAGACCCCCATCTCTACTAAAATAGAAAAAACTGGGGCAAGAGAATCACTTGAACCCAAGAGTTGGAGATTTCTGTGAGCTATGATGCCACAGCACTTTACCCAGGGCAACAGCTATCTCAAGAAAAAAAAAAAAAAGGAAAAAGAAAATAAAATAATAACTGACCTCAGAGAAAAAAATGGTTCTCATCCTAACTATGTAATACTATGTGATATAGTATGATGTTAATTGTTTTATTTATATCAGTATTAACATATTAATACATAATATTTGTACATATCTATGGGGTACATGTGATATATTGTGACATGGATAGACTGTGTAATGATCAAGTCAGGGTATGTGGGGCACCCGTCACCTTGAGCATTTATCATTTCTCTATGTTGGGAACATTTCAAGTCTTCTCTTCTACCTGTTTGAAATATACAATACATGACTGTTAATTATAGTCACCCTACTGTGCTAGGGAACATTAGAACTTATTCCTTCTACCTACCTGTGTGTTCGTACCCATTCTCCTAGCTCTTTTCATCTCTCCACACACACACACACACACACACACACACACACACACACACTCTTCCCAGCGTTAGGAATTACCATTCTCTCTGCTTCCTTGAGGTCATCTTTTTTAGCTCCTACATACACGTAAGAACATGCCATTACTGATATAATGCTTTCAAACTTATTTTATTTTCTGGCTTTTGTTTTTAGCTTCCGGACGTACAACTTACAGAAGAAGAAGAAGCCATCAAAATCAGTCTGATAGAGAACGAGCCGCTGCCTCCTGAAGTTCTGGATGTGATTCTCTCTGAGTGGTGGCTTAAGGAGCCAATACGGTATCTTAATTCATATAGAATTATGTATTTACTTGCTTTTATTTATTTTATTCGTAAGAGTTAATAATGTAGTTCAACAGATATTTAAGCATTTTCTCCTTTACGTTGATGTTAACTAGTGATTCTCACTTGAGATACACATTAAAAACGTCTGTGAAGTTTTTTAAAATCCTGACGCTAAGACCCCATCCCAAAATAATTGAATCAGAATCTCTAGAAATGTAAAATGGGAACGCAGGCATTAGGATTTTTGAGAAACCCCACCCCAGGTGATTCTAAAGTGCAGTTGTGGTTGTACAATTGATTATATTTTAAGCCCACATATTCTAACTCTTTTTACCTGTAGTCTTTAAACAACCACAGTTAAGACTAATTAACACAGCAGTTCTCAATCTGTGTGCAGGAACTGTATTAAAGGCTCGCAGCATTAGGAAAGTTGAGAACCACTGAATTAATAGCCATCCATACTGTTATCCCTTTACCAAATTTGAGGAACAATACTGACCCCAGAAAGGACAAATTTAAGGATCTCCAGGTCACCAGAATTTAAAACTTTGTCATTATTTCTTAACCAGAATATCTTGCCTTGATACCCACTGAAACAAAGAGAGATGATATTTACAACACTGTAGCACACACACACACATATGGAACTCACTGTGTACTGGGCACTGTTGGACTCTGTTTTATTCATATTTACTTATTTAATCCTTACAACAACCCTGTGGGACAAAAAATTTTAAAATCTCATTTTAGAATAAGAAAACTGAGTCACAGAGAAGTTTAACTGGCTAGTTCCAGTGTTCCTCTTAAGTCTCAGGGCAACCTTATTCCCCAATCTAAATGAGTGAGTGGGATTATTAATTACAAATTTTATGTTTACTTTCTTATTCCCTAAATAAGGTCAATAGATGTAGAAAATTTTTAGGTAGGTTACCTACATCTAGATAGTCGCGGGTTGTTCATTAATTTAGCACCTGACCTCACACTGTACATTAAAACCCTGGGCAGGTAGATAGATAGAGAGATATAGATACAGATATATAGCTGTGTAAATAGATATGAATTGAAGAATTAAAAGTAAAAAGTGAGGTTATAAAAGTCTAAATAAAATAGCTGAATATTATGCGACACCATTAAAATTGACTA